GCTGTGGGGAGACGGCGCTGAGGGACATGGTCCCCCTGAGCTGTGGGGAGACGGCGCTGAGGGACATGGTCCCCCTGGCTGTGGGGAGACGGCGCTGAGGGACATGGTCCCCCTGGCTGTGGGGAGACGGCGCTGAGGGACATAGTCCCCCTGAGCTGTGGGGAGACGGCGCTGAGGGACATGGTCCCCCCCAGCTGTGGGGTGACGGCGCTGAGGGACATGGTCCCACTGAGCTGTGGGGAGACGGCACTGAGGGACATGGTCCCCCTGGCTGTGGGGTGATGGTGCTGTCTGGTCCCAGCTCAGGTGCGACACATCCTGTCGGCGGTGCAGGCACTCACGGCAGCACAGGAGCAGGTGACTCTGTCCGGTGAGGCACTGGGCCGCCTGGCCCTGGAGAACGAGGTTCTGCACCAGCAGCTGGCTGGGCCGCCGCCCCAGCACGCTGCCCAGATGGGTGAGGCACACCTGGAGCTCGAGGCTGCCCGCAGAGAGACGGTAAGCTGGCCCCTGTCTCATCCACCCGGGATGGACACCTGAAGCCCTGGGACAAGTGACAGGGAGCAGCAGGTGGCAGTGTCCTCTACCCACAACACATTCCCAGGGAGAGACTGTCCACATCGTGAGGGTCCTGAGGATCCCGTGGGCTTTCCTGGGGGAGACCGTCCACGTTGTGAAGGTCCTTGGCTTCCTGTGGGCTTCCTGGGGAGAGGCCATTTATGCCCACCAGGTACCCACAGCAGGGACATCTGAGTCATGATGGTCTTGGGGTCCCTGTGGGCTTCCCCGAGAGAGACCAGCTATGCCCACGAGGTCCCCACACTGGACGAATCCCTGCAGGTGTCTGGGTCCACCCCCGGCCGTGGCTGTGCTCTTCCTGAGAGGCCGTGCGGGTGGACAGGCCGCCTGGGGACACAGTGCTGAAATGGGTACTCACAGCTGCATGGCACTTTCCTGAGCCAAGCTGACCACCCAGTGCTGTTGCCTCTGCCTCAGACCAGGAGCCCACACAGGCTTGGCCGGCAGGACATCTCAGAGTCTCTGAGTGACGCCATCAGCTGTCGGCCGATAGTCTTGTCCAGGGCCCAGCAGGGCAGCCGCACCTCCTCCAGTCCAATAACTGCTCCAGCCGGTTCAGGTGGATAGGGGTCCCTTGGCAGGTCCAGATGGATGGGGCTCTCTCTAACAAGTATGGGTGGACGGGGGTCCCTCCTGGCAGCCCACACCTGCCCTTCAACCTGTGTCATCCTTGCACCCCAGGAGAGCTGAGCTGTTAGCCCGTGTCTCCCTCTTTCTCATTGCTGGGCACCTGCAGAGCCACATCCTATCCTAACCATGCACACACAGTCAGGACACCCCACATCCTATCCTAACCATGCACACACAGTCAGGACACCCCACATCCTGTCCTAACCGTGCACACACAGGTAGGGCACCCCACAAGCAGTGCACAGAAACATGCACGCCTGGGTCTGTGCACTCACTGTGTATATGCACGCACATGTGCACAGGCATGCATGCACCCAGGCACACGTGTGCATGCACGCACACACACACACACACACGGGCCCATGAACACACGCATCCACTCATATGCACTGCTCAGTCCACAGTCAGTATGTGGAGAGGGGGAGCCACCTGTGTGGCGGTCTGCAGCTCCCCCCTGAGTCCTGGCTCTGCCCCTCTGGTGGAGGGACCCTGTGTCCTTAGGATGACCTGAGGCAGCGTCTAGAGAAGTGTCTGGAGGAGAATGGCAGCCTCAAGTCCCTGCTTTCCAGCATTGAGAAGGAAGCCAAGAGTGTGGAAGCCACAACTGCACTGAGCATGCAGCTTGCTGGTGAGTGCAGCCTCTGGCAGTGCTACTGGGCAGGGCCACCTGAGGTCAGGGTCCCCCCCCCAGTGCACAGTCACCTGGGGCAGGGTCACCTGAGGGCATTGTCCCCCCAGGGAAGGGTCCCCCAGGGGCAGGGTCCCTGGAGGGCATTGTTCCCCCAAGGGCAGAGTCACCTGGAGGCAGGGTCCTCCAAGGGCATTGTCCCCCACTAGTGCAGGGTCCCCCAAGGACAGGGTACCCCAGGGGCACAGTTCCTGGAAGGCGTTGTTCCTCTAAGGGCAGGGTCATCTTGGGGCAGGGTCCCTCCCCCCAAGGGCACGGTCCCTCTGAAGGCATGTTCCCCCGAGGGCAGAGACCCCCCAGGGGCATGGTCCCCCTAGGGCAGAGTCCCCTGGAGGGCATGGTCCCCCCCCAGGGCAGGGTCTCCCTGAGATCAAGGTCTCCCCAAGGGCAGGGTCCCCTGAGGCCATGGTCCCCCCGAGGGCATGGTCCCCCAAAGGGTCCCCAAAGGCAGGGTGGCAGCTAGCAGTGGAAAGTGCGGGTGCCCAGATGTGAACAGCCACCTCATGACAAGGCTGTGCTCTCTGGGCTGTCTGCAGTTCCACAAGAGCAGGCCCTCTTGCTGGTCACGTGGAGGCCTGGGGTGGACCCTGGTCCAGGCAGCTTCTCTGGCCCCTTCCATCAAGCGCACAGGAGCCCCCTGCCGGGTCCTGGGCTCACTCTCACCTGCTCAGGCTGGGTCTGCATGCAACTGTGTTTCCTCAGACCCTTGAGGGTCAGCAACTGTCCCAGCCCCTCAGACCGCACACAGCCATCGCTTGAGCCGCCTCACAGGCTTGTGTGTGGTGCTGGCCTCCCTGGGACCCCAGGGAGCATTGGGGGCTCACTGTGTCCTTGACTTGTGAGGACCTCAGATCGGTGCTGCTTCCTGTTATGTGGGTCAGGAGCACCAGTGGCGTAGCCTGTAGCAAGTTGTGGTGCAAACCCAAAGGCCGCAGTTCAAATCCACCATTGGCCTCAGGGAGAATGTTCTCAGCAACTGGAGCTCGTTGAGGCGTCCACATGTGTCAGACCTGGCAGGCGGGTCAGGTCTCAGCCTGGCTCTGAGCCGCCTCCCCCACAGAGGGGCTGTCCCCAATAGGGGCCACGTCCTCCACAGGGGGCTGCATCCTGAACCCATCTCCTCCACAGCAGGGGGGCCTCCTCCTCAGGGAGCCGCGTCCCCTACATGGGGCGCTTCCTCCACTGGGGGGTTCTGTCTGGAAGGGAGGAGGAATCAAGTCCATGCAACTGTGGCCACTGGGGTGTCTGGTAGGAGTCGCCCCAGAGTCCCATCCACACAGGCAGCAGAGCAGGTGCAGTGTCTCCTGGGGCTCCCTCCAGCAAGGCCAGCAGTAGTGGCCCAGATGCGGCCCAGCGGGGTTCAGGGTGCTTCCTGTGAGAGTGATGGCAGATGCCAGTCCACTGGGCACCTGTGACTTGAGGGGTCTGCGTTCCCCTACAGGACTGCAGACGAGTGTGAAGAGGCTGTCGGATGAGGTTGTGCAGCTCAGACAGCATCTGGAGCACTACGACAAGATCCAGGAGCTCACCCGGATGCTGCAGGAGAGCCATGGGTGAGCCGGTGGGGCTTAGGGGGCGCGGGCACAGGGGAGCCCCAGGGGGTACAGGGGAGCTCACCAGAATGCTGCAGGGGAACCACAGGGGAGCCCCGGGAGAGCTGCAGGGGAGCCGGGGTAGGGGTGCCTTGGGCAGTGACAGGCAGTCGTTCTGAGCAGCTGCCCCCTCAGCTCCCTGGTCAGCACCAACGAGCACCTGCTGCAGGAGCTGGGCCGCACGCGGGCGCAGCACCGCGCCGAGGTGGAGCAGCTGCGCTGGAGCTACCAGGAGCTTAAGAAGACTATGGCCCTGTTCCCTCAGCGCCGCGCTGAGCCCGAGCCTGGGGGCAGCTAACCCTCTGTGCCCACTGCCACGGCTGCGTCGGTGCACACAGAGGCCAGGCCCCCTCCACAGCCCTACAACCATGTCGATGCGCACAGAGAGGAGGCCACCGCCACTGCCCCACAGCCGCGTTGATGCACAGAGGCCAAGCAACCGCCACAGCCTCACATCTGCGTCAATGCGTACAGAGAGGAGGCCACTGCCACTGCCCCACAGCCGCGTTGATGTGCACAGAGACGAGGCGAGGGGATGCATTAGGCCCAAAGCTCAGTTTCTAAAGCAAGCATCCCCCAGAGAGAGGATCCAAGCGCCAGCTTGCTTGTTGGCACAGCACGGATATAGGGACTTTGCGTTCTCAGCTCTTTTCAGCGGGAGGACCATGGCGCTTCCTATCTGCTGTGACAGCACTAGGTAACAGGTGTATGTGTGACAGGCAGGCCTTATTTAAAGGACAGGGCAGTTCTGAAAGCTATGTCGTGACCTAGTTTCTCACGAAATTCTACATGAGACAAGCACTGTGTTGGTGATCAAGAACAAATGGGTTCCAAGACTTCAGAGAAGGAAGCTTGTGTGTGTGGAAACATCTGCGTGTTCTTTTGTGGTATAACATGTCAATAAAAAGCCCTGCACAAGTCCTGACTCTGCTGCTTGTAGTGGATTTCTGGGAATTAGAACTGCACGGCAGCCCCAGATCTTAGTTTGGACTCTGTGTATACTGAAGTATAATGGATTATTCATTCTCAGTTTCATCATTAAAAGATGGAACAGTGTTGAATTGCTTTAGGAAGTGAGGTGACAAGGATACAGTGGTCCGTGGGCTGTACATCCGGGCTGGGGCAGCTGGGACGCAGTGGGGTGCAGGGGATCCCTGTCCAAGGGGCTTACCATTTCATCATCAGACCACTCCTCAATTTATAGAAATGTAAGGTTTTCCTGTCCACCCATCTCAAACGTGAAAACTCATCACCACCACTCTTTCTTTAGATTGTTCTTCTAAATGTACAGTGTATACTTTTTGTCTCTTTTCTGATGAGTCTCCCTCTTCTAGATCTGTCTGAGGCGTCAGTTAGTTAGCCCCTCGTCCTCCTGGCGCCCCTCGTCCTCCCTGCACCCCTCACCCTCTTCATGCCTCCCTTGCCCTCCTTGTGCCACTCGCCCTCCTCATGTCCCCCTCGCCCTCCTTGTGCCCCCTTGCCCTACCTGCTCCCCTCGCCCTCCCCATGCACCTCGTCTTCCTCCCACCCCTCTGGTCACGGTCCTCTGTAGCCCCTCTGAGCTTTTGCTTATCTGATCTGCTGGTAAGGCTGTTGAGTTTTTCCATTTCAGAAATTATTTTCAGTCCTAAAATTCCATTTGGTTCTTTTGTGTTAAAATTTTACTTTTTGTTGTGTTCATGTTCCTTGACCTCCTTAACTCTGCTCTTAGTCGCCTTTCTAGATGGTTGCAAGCTGTCTGATAAGGCGTCTGTGTCCAAGAGGAACCCGTGCCGCCCGAGTTCCCAGCACCTGCAGTCAGTTCTTCAGTCCTTGCTCTAGGGCTGTGGCACGTGGTGGGGCCATTCATGGTCCATGCTCCCCATGGAGGGAGCCTCTCCCTGTGTGTGTGATCTCAGCATGTTGTAAGCCTCCGCTGTAGTCAGTCCTCTGGGGCATCACTGAGGCACGGTTACAGCTGCGGGGTATAGGCCTGATCAGCCTGCTTTGGTGGAAGGAGAAGTCTGGTCGGGGAGTGACTACTTTGAGGGTGGATGTGTGGACAATCTCGCCCAGTTTTTGTCTGACTTGGGCTCCTGACTTGAACCAGCAGCCTGCCATGCTTGCTGACTCTGGGCTTGCATTGTTTTGCTTTTGACCGAGTACAGTGTACTTTCACTGTTAACAATGACAGTCTGGAGACTAAGGTGTGCCTGATGCAGGCCATGGTCTTCTCAATTGCTTGCTATACATCTGAGAGCTGGACAGTGACTAAGGATGGTAGAAGAATGATCAGTGCCTTTGAGCTGTGGTGCTAGAGAAGAGTGTCAAACATAATGTGGACCACCAAGAGGACAAGCAGGTCTGTGCTGGAGAGGGTAAAATCAGGCTGCTCCCTGGAGGCAAGGATTTTGAAACTCTGCCTCACATACTTTGGGCACATGGCCAGGAGGGACCAGTCCTGGGAGAGGGACATCATGCTTGGAAAGATGGAGAGACAGAGCAGGAGGGGAAGACCCTGCATGAGATGGATTGGATCAGTGACTGGAGAAATGGGATTAGGTCTGTCAGAGGTGACGAGATTGGCTCAGGAGAGGGCAGGTTTCAGAGCCTAAACACGTCACAGCTGTGAGCCGCAGGTGACTTGATGGCACATAACAACAGTGTACTTTATTGATGGTACATGACAAGATGGGTTCTCTAAGCCCCTCCCATTTCTCAAGGCGACTGGATGGAAACTGTTGAGGATGTGAGATTCTCAGTGTGTGTGGGGATCAAGATGGGGCACGGACTCCCCGGCAGCTGAGGGTCTCTCTTCTAGTGCTGTTGCTGAGGCCGTGGTCAAGAAGTTATTCTTTGGAGGCCACGTGAATCATCATGTTGACCACCCCGTTCCTATAACCAAATTCATTGTCATACCAGGAAATGAGTTTGACAAAGTGGTCATTCAGGGCAATGCCAGCCCAGCATCGAAGGTGGAAGAGTGGGTGTCACTGTTACAGTCACAGGAGACAAACCTGGTCTTGAATGTATCCCAGGATGTCCCTGAGGTTCCTTCTGATGCCTGTTTCACTACTTTCTTGATGTCATCATATTTGGTAGCTTTCTCCAAGATAGTAAGTCAGATACACAACTGACACATTGGGGTTGGGGACATGGAAAGTCATTCCAGTAAGTTTCCTATTCAGCTCAAGAATCACCTTGCCCATGGCCTTGGCTGCTCCAGTAGATGCAGGGATGATGTTCTGGACAGCTCCACGGCCATCATGCTACAGCTTTCCAGAAGGGCTGTCCACAGTCTTCTGGGTAACAGTAATGGCGTGGACTGTGGTCACGAGTCCCTCTACAATACTTAAGTTGTCATGGATGACCTTGGCCAGGGGAGCCAAGCAGTTGGTGGTGCAGGAGGCATTGCTGACAATCTTGAGAGAGTTGTCATACTTCTCAGGGTTCATGCCCATCACAAACATGGGGGGCATCAGTAGAAGGAGCAGAGATGGTAACCAGTTTGGCACCACCGTTCAGGTGAGCCCCAGCCTTCTCCAAGGTTGTGAAGACACCAGTGAACCCCACAAGACACTCAGCACTAGCATTAGCCCACCTGATGTTGGTAGGATCTTGCTCCAGGAAGATGGTGATGGTGACTTTCCCATTGATGACCAGCTTCCCATATCAGCATTAACAGTGCCATTGAATTTGCCGTGGGTGGAATCATACTGGAATATACAGACCATATAGTTGAGGTCAATGAAGGGGTCAGTGATGGCAACAACATCCACTTTGCCAGAGTTCAAAGCAGCCCTGGTGACCAGGCACCCAGTGCAGAATGTTTATCTGTGTGTCATAGACTATGCAAAGGCATTTGACTGTGTGGATCACAACAAATGGTGGCGAACCTTGAGGAGAATAAGAATCCAGAACATCTGATTATGCTTATGAGAAACCTGTGCTTGGACCAGTAAGCAGTCCTTAGAAACAAGCAAAGAAACACCGCATGGTTCAAAATCAGGAAAGGAGTATGTCAGGGATGCATCCTGTCTCCATACCTTTTCAATCTATATACAGAACAGATCATTCGGGAGGCTGGGCTTTACTAGGAGGAATGTGGCATCAGGATTGGAGGAAGACAGACCCATCAACAGTCTGCATTATGCAGATGACACAGCCTTGCTTGCTGAAACTGAGGAGGACTGCAGTGCTTGCTGCAGAAGGTCAAGGACTGCAGCCTTCAATATGGATTGAAGTTCAACATCAAGAAGACTAAGACTCTCACCACTGGGCCAGTTTGGCAGCACCATAATAGATGGAGAAGAGATTGAGGTTGTTAACAAATACAGCTTGCACAAATACAGATCCACAATCAACACTCTTGGCACCAGCAGTCAGGACATCAAAAGACAAATTGCACTGGGAAAATCTGCTGTCAGGGACCTCTCCAGAGAGCTGAGAAGCAACAAGGTCAGTAGAGACTAAGGTGCACTTGGTCTTTGCAATTACTTACAATGCATCAGAGAGCTGGACAGTGACTAAGGATAGAAGAAGAATTGATACGTTTGAGTTGTGGTGCTGGAGAAAAGTCTTGTACATACCATAGACCACAAAGAAAATGAACAGGTCTGTCTTGGAGAAAGTGAAACCAAGTTTCTCTTTGGAGATAAGGATTTTGAAGCTCCATCTCACATAATTTCGGCACATAGCCAGAATTGACCAATCCTTGGAAAAGGACATCATGCTTGGAAAGGTAGGGAGACAGTGCAAGAGAGGGAGACCCCAGATGAGATGGATTGACACAGTAACTGGGGCAATGAGGGTAGGTGTGTTGAAGTCAGTGAGACTGGCTCAGAACAGGGCAGGCTTCAGAGCTGTTGTACCTAGGGTCGCTATGCATTGGAGGCAACTCGATGGCACATAACAACAATTCACTGGAGTTTTTAAAAAATCTTTTTTATAATTTCTACATAAACAGTATGTGTACATTGTGTTTCATGAATGGACATTGTGTCCATTTTATTTTTGACAACTTCAGTTTTCCTAGATCCATGCCTCTTATATTCCATGTCCCCGTTATTGGATGTTTGCAGCTGTTTCTCCTCATTTTGAAAAGACCAAAATGGCACAAGAGACTAAAAAACTTGCATTGAGACGAAAAGAAGACAACAAGCAGAAGGAATGCTGAGCAAAGACCTGAAGATTTGAGAGCACAGCCCCAGGAGGTAGGGCAGTGCGTCACCACATGTGCCAGGAGCCGGGGTGATGAACATGCCTGGCTGGAGGGAACCCAAGAGCAAACACCTCAAATTGCAGCAACGATGGATTCTA